AAACGTTCATGAAAAGATAAAAGAAATCTATTGATTTAACTACGCCTCATAATTTGTGTCCACTAACCAGATTTCTTGGGGGAATGGTTAGACTCTGAGAGGGTTTAATAATATTTGATCAGCGGCTTTGCAGTATGCCGGCGTTGTGGAGAAGAGACAGGATGTATGACATCATTTTGGCCTAGGCCAGAAACCAGGATGCAAGTGAAAAAATGTAGAAAAAAAAGGTAAAAACGAGTAAATATAATCTACCTTCCTATCTACATATTTACTAATGCTAGCAGAATAATGTTTTTAAATAGTTTGTGTTGATTGAGAGAGGTTAGTTCCTCTTTAAAGTGGTTGTAAAGGCTCAAGGTTTTTTACCTTCATACATTCTATGAAGGTAAAAAACCTTCCGTGTGCAGTAGCCTTCCTAATACTTACCTAAGCCCCATCATGATCCAGCGATGTGCACAAGAACATCAGCTGTCCTGGGTCTCTGCCTGCTCGTTGGCAAGTCAGTCACAGCCAGTGAGCCAATGAGGAGACAGAGGGGGTGGGGCCGATCCGCGGGTGAATGGACACACGGAGCATCAGCTCAAGAGTGCGCCTGCTCAGGTGCCCCCATAGCAAGCTGCTTGCCATGGGGGCACCCGACAGGAAGTAGAAGCCAGGAGCGCCACCTGGAGACCCGAGAAGAGGACGATCCAGGCTGCTCTGTGCAGAACTGCTGTACAAAGCAGGTAAGTATGACATGTTTAAAAAAAATAAAAATGAACCCTTAGTATCTCTTTTAGTCATGCCAGTGCCTAATAGGATCTATAGTGATGATGAATTTGCAGTCTGGTGAATGGGATGCAAGGACATGTTGGGCAATCCATTAGGGGGCTTTAAATCGTAAAACGGTTAAGAACTCCTGGCCTAGAGCTCTGCGCTAGAGTACCATTGTGCCTGGTAAGGTGAGACTACAGGTTCACTGTAATACTTGATTTCATGGAAATGAACTGATGATTGTTCTTGTTCAGTTGATAATCTCATCATTTTCCTTCCGCTGATTAATACTGAAGAGCAGCTGGGATAACATAGCGCCTTTTTTGCGCACATGAAATCTTCTCGCTTCACACTGACAGCTGGCGTTGGCGCTTTGTGAAGAGATCAAAACTTTGCATGCTTGATGTTTGTTTCTATTCACTACACTAACAAAGTAAAACTCTCAGCGCTTGCGACGTGTGATAAGTGCACCAGCTGTCTGCTTGTTACCGGCGGCGTAGCTTAGAGCGACCATGTGGGCTTTCATTTTTTATATCGGAGTATTTGTGCTTTAAAGTGCAAGTTCATCTTTTATTTGCATTGCCTCCCTTTTATGTGTTTGCAGCTTTATTCATTAGCTTATGTGAAGCAACAGGTTATCTGCTCAGAAAGTGTGAACTGACTTACCTGATATCTTTCCTTTCCCTTCACCTTCCCCCTTCTCCTTACCTCTGCCCCCTTCTCCTTACCTCTTTCTCCTTACCCTTCCACCTTCCCCCTTCCCCCTTCCCCTTCCTCTTGCCCCCTTCCTTCCCCTTTCCTCTTCCCCCTTCCCCTTCCCCCCCCTTCCAGGCTTCCTCCTTCAAGGCCCTTCCTCTTCCCCCTTCCCCATCCTCTTCTCCCTTCCCCCCCCTTCTCCCTTCCCCTTCCTCTTCCCCCCTCTCCCCCCCCCCTTCTCCTTCCCCTTCCCCCTTCTCCTTCCTCTTCCCCCTTCCCCTTCCCCCTTACCACCCCTCTCCTTCCTCTTCCCCCTTCTCCCTTCCCTCTTCCCCCTTCTCCTTCCTCTTCCCCCTTCCCTTCCCCCTTCTCCTTCCCCTTCCCCTTCCCTCTTCCCCCTTCTCCTCCCTCTTCCCCCTTCTCCTCTTTCTTCCCCCTTTCCTTCCCTTCCCCTTCTCCCTTCCCTCTTCCCCCTTCTCCTTCTTCTTCCCCCTTCGCCTTCCTCTTCTCCTTCCTCTTACCCCCTTCTCCTTCCTCTTTTCCTCCTCTTCCCCCTCTCTTCCTCTCTTCTCCTTCCTCTTCTTCTCCTTCCTCCCCCTTCTCCTTCCTCTTCCCCCTTCTCCTTCCTCTCCCCCTTCCCCCTTCCCCTTCCTCCTTCACCTTCCCCCTTCTCCCTTCCCTTCCCCTTTCCCTTCCCCTTTCTCCTTCCCCTTCTCCTTTCCCTTCCCCTTCCCCCTTTTCCTTCCCCCTTCCCCTTCCCCTTTTCTTCTCCCTTTCCCTTCCCCCTTTTCCATCTTCTCCTTTTCCCCCTTACCTCTTCCCCCTTCCCCCTTTTGGCCAGTTCATTGGAGACAGATCAAAATTCAATCTATCTATGGGGCAGGCTGGTTGTTTTAAAGTTGATCCATCAATCAACTTCCCCCTTTATCTTTCCCTTTCTCTTATCTTTCCCCTTTCTCCATCCCCTTTTCTCCATCCCCCTTTTCTCCATCCCCCTTTTCTCCATCCCCTTTTCTCCATCCCCCTTTTCTCCTTCCCCCTTTTCTCCATCCCCTTTTTCTCATCCCCCTTTTCTCCTCCCCCCTTTTCTCCTTCCCCCTTTCCCTTCCTCCTTCCTCTTCTCCTTCATTTTCCCCTTTCCCTTCCTCCTTCTCCCTTCCTCCTTCTCCCTTTTGGCCAGTTCAGGTCAAAATTCAATCTATCTATGGGGCAGGCTGGTTGTTTTAAAGTTGATCCATCAATCAACTTCCCCCTTTTCCTTCCCCTTATCTTTCAGCCTTTCTCCTTCCCCCTTTTTCCTTCCCCCCCCTTTCTCCATCCCCTTTTCTCCATCCCCCTTTTCTCCATCCCCCTTTTCTCCATCCCCCTTTTCTCCTTCCCCCTTTTCTCCATCCCCCTTTTCTCCTTCCCCCTTTTCTCCTTCCCCCTTTTCTCCTTCCCCCTTTTCTCCTTCCCCCTTTTCTCCTTCCCCCTTTTCTCCTTCCCCCTTTTTCTCCTTCACCCTTTCCTCCTTCCCCCTTTCCCTTCCTCCTTCCTCTTCTCCTTCATTTTCCCCTTTCCCTTCCTCCTTCTCCCTTTTGGCCAGTTCAGGTCAAAATTCAATCTATCTATGGGGCAGGGTGGTTGTTTTAAAGTTGATCCATCAATCAACTTCCCCCTTATCTTTCAGCCTTTCTCCTTCCCCCTTTTTCCTTTCCCCTTTCTCCTTCCCCCTTTCTCCTTCCCCCTTTTTCTCCACCCCCCTTTTTCTCCTTCTCCACCCCCCTTTTCTCCTTCCCCCTTTTTTCTCCTTCCACCCCCCTTTTCTCCTTCCCCCTTTTCTCCTTCCCCCTTTTCTCCTTCCCCCTTTTCTCCTTCCCCCTTTCCCTTCCTCCTTTCCTTTTCTCCTTCCTCCTTTTCTTTTCCCCCTTTCCCTTCCTCCTTCCTCTTCTCCTTCATTTTCCCCTTTCCCTTCCTCCTTCCTCTTCTCCTTCATTTTCCCCTTTCCCTTCCTCCTTCCTCTTCTCCTTCATTTTCCCCTTTCCCTTCCTCCTTCCTCTTCTCCTTCATTTTCCCCTTTCCCTTCCTCCTTCCTCTTCTCCTTCATTTTCCCCCTTTCCCTTCCTCCTTCCTCGTCTCCTTCATTTTCCCCCCTTCCTCCTTCTCCCTTCCTCCTTCCCCCTTTTGGCCAGTTCAGGTCGAAATTCAATCTATCTATGGGGCAGGCTGGTTGTTTTAAAGTCGACTGTTTATCTTACGTTTCCCAATCTAGAACAAATAGAAATATAACAGCTCAATTGTTCTATTAAGACCCAACACATTCATACATGTTAGTACTGTTAATAAGCAGATATTAGGTTATGGAAATCTTCTAACACACCCATGGTTGCAGGAAAGAAAATTGTATCATCTATGGCCTGCCTTAGACAGAAATCTGGCCTCTTTCCTTATCTGCCTCTCTCTGGAGCCTTCTCTCTAAGGAATTGCTGGTCTTGGCACCACATATAAGTAACAAGGACTACACCCCCCGGATATTTGAGGTTTTTATTTTTGTTTCCATACTCTATATATACATTCTACGTATGCCTGTTGTCAGTTTGGATAGTTCTTGGGACACCAAAAATCATTTAGAATTCCCGTGTGTATGTACTCTAAACTTTGGCTAAGCAAGAAATTCCCAACAATATGGAAGCCACAGCTCTACATACAAATGATGTGAGAATGTGCAATTTCTGGGATGTCACTGGCAGTGATAGATTTGTTTAGCAAAGAGACGGCTCATAAATTTCATGCGCTCTGAGCCTCAATGATACTCACGACTTGTCTGCCCTTGGTCTGTAAGAATGTATGAGCGCGGGGTTAAGCGCATTCATTCTGTCACGTCTCGGGTCTGCGGCGGAGCTGTCCCTCCACCTCATTTCGCCTCTGCATTCCGAAAGAATATTTCTTTATGAAATTGGAATGACCCAGGTAAGTATCGTCGCTAATAACTTCCCGGCTGAGCGGTGACCCCATCACCTACCCTGTCTGCACGTCGGCTGCTGCTGCCGCTGTCTGCCAGAGCTGAAGATAGACAGGAGGTTGGTAGAGACGGGATAACTTTCTTACAGAAAGCTGATAGATGTTAATGCTCAGGCTTTTACCGCCTGATAAGGGCAATTCCGTGCCGTGCCTTTGCTGTTTAAAGGGAAACTGCAGTGTGTTTGTAGTCTGTACACATTTTGAGTTCTAAGAATGAAGTTTACTGGGAAATACATTTTGGTATAACTTTTTTTTTAACCTTTCTACTCCCTTGCTCTGCCTCTTTTTAGTAGGGAATTGTATAAACCTGCGTTGGTCAATTTTCTAGATTTGGTGGAGCCCTCGATATCCCCAAAGGGCTGCACATAAAAGGATGTTCAGAGACTGCAGACATAATAGAAGGGATGGTTGAAATGCAGACATAATACATGGGATGGTCAGAGACTGCTAGGCAGGATCTAAGAGATGCTCTTGGACATGATGCAAGAGATGGTCAGAGACTGGAGACGTGATACAAGAGATATTGAGAGACTGCGGACATGATACAAGAGATGGTCAGAGACCCTGGACATGATACATGAGATGGTCAAAGACTGCAGACATGGTACAAGAGATGGTCAGAGACTCTGGACATGATACATGAGATGGTCAAAGACTGCAGACATGTACAAGAGATGGTCAGAGACCCTGGACATGATACATGAGATGGTCAAAGACTGCAGACATGGAGATGGTCAGAGACTCTGGACATGATACATGAGATGGTCAAAGACTGCAGACATGGTACAAGAGATGGTCGGAGACTGCAGACCGGATACAGGAGATGGTCAGAGACTGCAGACATGGTACAAGAAATGTTCAGAGACTGCAGACAGGATACAGGAGATGGTCAGAGACTGCAGACATGGTACAAGAGATGTTCAGAGACTGCAGACAGGATACAGGAGATGGTCAGAGACTGCAGACAGGATACAGGAGATGGTCAGAGACTGCAGACGATACAAGAGATGGTCAGAGACTGGGGACATGATACAAGAGAGGGTCAGAGACTGGAGACATGATACAAGAGAGGGTCAGAGACTGCAGACATGATACAAGAGATGATCAGAGACTGCAGACAGGATACAGGAGATGGTCAGAGACTGCAGACAAGATACAGGAGATGGTCAGAGACTGCAAACATGATACAAGAGAAGGTCAGAGTCTGCAGACATGATAGAAGAGATGGCCAGAGACTAGAGACATTATACAAGAGATGGTCAGAGACTGCAGACATGATACAAGAGCTGGTCAGAGAGTGCAGACATGATACAGGATGTGTTCAAAGCCTGAGGATGTGCTTCAGGAGACTGTCATAGACTGTGAACATGCTATAGGAGTTGTTGGAGATTGGGGTCATGCTTCAGAAGACAGTCATAGACTGGAGACATATTACATGAGAATGCCAGAAATCACTTCTATAACTGGGCAGTAGCCCAATTCCAAAGTACTAGTTGGGTACCAGGAGAATAAACAGTTTTTCCAGTTCTTCAGCTAGTGGCTTTCTGTATGTCAGACAGTCACAATTGGCACGCTGCTGAGCAAGTTCTGAAATGAAACCAAATTACAGGTAAGACACCCAGTGGGGCCAGTATGGTGAGATAATCAGGCTTTTCTACTTTGCACAGTGGCTGAAAGTTTCTAGCATAGCTCTCTGGGCCTTGAGGCCGAGTTGCCGCATATTTGCGTGCCATTAGAAAATACATATGTGATGAGAGCGCGCTCCCTGCGCACTTCCAGCACATATGTCCGTGACTCATGGAAAGGTCCCGATCTCGCCTTGCGAGATCATGTGACTGCTGTGACAGCGAATCACGGCACATGACCGTAAAAACCCCGCCCACCTCCCGACTTCTGATACTCTTAAAGGGCCGGGAGGCGCAAGCGCAAAGGGGTTAATAGTAGCTTAAGCCATTGGCTCCCACTGCTGTCAATCACATTCTGTGATGAGGGAGCAGGGGGCGAGGCTGTGCCCCTCTGTCTGTGTCTACAGATGCAGGCAGCCCGGCTCGGGAGCAAGCCTGCATGAGTACCCCATAGGAAGCGGCTTCCTATAGGGCACTGGTTTAGGAGGAGAAGCTGGGAGGAAGATCGGAGCTGCCCTTTGCAAAACCATTGCACAGAGTAGGTAGGTATAACGTATATTATTTTAATTTTAAAAAAATCAAGCTTTACAATCACTTTAAAGCTGTCAGCGCCGGTTGTCAGAATATAAAAGCCAATCAATCGTAAATAGCTTCAAACATGCTTGGGACAAGCATAGATCTCTACAAACAAAAAAGTTAATGGGGGGACAAAAAAAAACATGGGCAGACTTGATGGACCACTGGGATCTTTTTTTCTGCAGTCACTTTTTATGTTCCTTTTCTAAAAGCCCAGCAGGGGGATTTGTCTATCCATGCTAAATGTGGGCAAATGGACAAATCCCCCTGCTGGGCTATCTGTTAGATTTTCTTTCATTCAGCCCAGGAGCTGAACAAATAAATGCATTACGGTAGGGCAAGCTTTATGAACCCATGAGAGCGGTAAGGCCCAGTTGGCATGTGGAAGGTGGACTAGTGACCAAACTGTACAGCCTAACTGTCTTGAAGAAAAATGGGGTCACCAGCCTAACTTTGAGTGTAGAAGTGTTGCTTGGCATTCAGCTTAATAAAAGACCCAGTTCATTCACACCTACACTATGTGGCCAAAAGTATGTGAATCTCCCTCCAAAAGACTGAGTTCAGGTGTTTTCAGTAAAGGGGGCTGTTAGTGCCCCAGCATACAAGGACATTTTAGACAGTTGTGTGCTTTCAGCCTTGTGGTAGCCATATGGTGAAGGTCCTTTCCATTCCAATATGACTGTGCCACATAGCCAGCTCCAGAAAGACATTGTTTAAAGAGTTTGGTGTGGAGGATCTCGAGTGTCCCGCACAGAGCTCTGACCTCAGCCTTTCAGAACACCTTTAAGATGAATTGGAATAACAATTGCAGACCAGATCTTCTTATCCAGCATCAGTACCTGACCTCACAAAGGTTCTTTTCGCTGAATGGGTAAAAATTCACCCAGACACACTCCACAATCTTGTGGAAAGTCTTCCTAGAAGAGTTCAGGCTGGGGGAAGGGGGACTCCACATTATTGCCTATGGTTTTGGAATGGGATGTCCAACAAGTTCATATGTGTGATGGCCATCAAACATTTGACATGTAGTATTCTTGGTGGTGGTGATGGTGGAACAGAGGGAAGGCGAGTAGGTCAGGAGTGGTCTAGTAGGACACTGTTGCTTTTTCCTATATGGGCAAGGTGACAGGTTCTCTTTAAAGGTAACACAGTAAATTTTTCAGTATTAGTTATTACATAGATTTACATGTTATGCTCTATCAAGTTGTGTTAAAGACTCCTTTAGTATCAATTCTATATAAATAAAATGGAAGGTTTAAACATGCCAATAGCTTCAGTTCTGAGACATACTTTGTTACTTTTTTTTCCTATGTTTATTTATATTTCGGGATTTAGCTTCCAACTATGAAATGGACCTCCACATTGCATTGGCATTGATGTACTATTTTTTTTTTTTTTAAGCATTCAAACAAAAATTTCCTTAATCCTGATCTTCTCTTCCTCCCATTCAACATTGTGAGGGATTAAAACGGTATTAAAATTCACATCGAAGCTCTTATCATTCTGAAAACTTTCATTTACATTATGTACGTTAAGTAAAATTGCTATTATGTTGCCATTATGTTAATGTAGCGGTAAATGCAACTCTTGGAATGGCTTTTATTGTAAGACTGCACCTTGTTTTAATTAATTTAGTTCCTGTTTTAATTAGACTTTCAATTCCACTGATGTTTTAAACAAAACCCTTCTTTATTGCCAAGGCTTTTAAAGCTGTATCATTTGATTAATAATTAAATTGCTGTCACATGAATTGCTGTGAGACATAGAATTCAGAAATCCCTTTGCAAAGGGACTAGCAGGTCTTATGGAGCAACTCCAGCTTGTGGCAAAAATGCCACTACATCCAATTTTTACGCTGTAATGAAATGTGGGATAAATTGTATTATTACTGGTTCCTATGGGAATGGTGGTTCCAATCTGATCTGCCTACTTTTTCTTGTCCTGTGCAAGTAATTTTTAATAATGATGAGCTAGGACATGTTTGGACCCACATGTACAAGACCACCAGGAAGCTGTCACCTGTACTTGCAGCTGGGGCATTCTCTGCCCAGCAGCTACTGGTATATATGCCCCTTGTTACATACATATGCACTCACCGGCAGGGGCGGACTGACAACTCATGGGGCCCCCGGGCAATAGGGGATCATGGGGCCCCTGTGTCCTTGCCCAAACTCAAAAAAGCCTATGAAAAAGGTACCAGGGGCATCTCATGGGGCCCCCTACTGACCCCAGGCCCTCGGGCAGTGCCCGAGTTTCCAAATGGTCAGTCCTCCCCTGCTCACCAGCCACTTTATTAGACCTTGCTAGTACAGGGTTTGACCCCTTTTTGCTTTCAGAACTGCCTTAATTCTTTGTAGCATGGATTCAACGAGTTGTTGGAAACATTCCTCAGAGAATTTGGTCCATATTGACATTACTGTTGAGTTACTGTTGCCTTTCTATCATCTCAAATCAGTCTGTCCATTCTCCTCTGACATTAACATGGTATTTTTGTCCAAACAACTGGATATTTTCTCTTTTTTCCAACTATTCTCTATAAACCCTAGCGATGGTTGTGCATGAAAATTCTAGTAAATATGCAGTTTTTTAAATACTCAGACCAGCCCGTCTGGCATCAACAACTAAGCCACGTTTAAAGTCACCTAAATCCCCTTTCTTCCCCATTGTGATGCTCATTTTGAACTTCAGCAAGTCGCCTTCACCACGTCTAGATGCCTAAATGCCCCCGCAACGGATGATTGACCCATACAGGTGACATTTTCCTGGCAGCTTCGCACATGTGGGCTCAGATATTAGTCCAAACAAGCCGCATCATTTAACTAGTTATCATGCATTTTTCAGCATGATGGGTAAAAGGTGGCTTCAGCTCCTGTTTTGCACTTTTACAGTACTCATCAGATGTGTTTTTTTTGGGGCTTAATCGTAGCGATTGAAAAAGCAAAAAATTTATTTTTTGCTATTCACTAGTCCTTAGATGTGATGGTTACATCAGTTTTCTTTTTTTTTTTCTTCATTTTCACCTTGTGATTTTGCCTTTTAACACGCTTCCTGTCTAAGGGTGACAACACCTACACATTTTTCTATGTTCATAGAGTCTAGTTATGTATCCTGTATGTGTCGATTGTATATCTCAAATTTACAGGTACCTACATCCCACTAAATTATATCCAACAGAACAAATGTGTAAGACTGGGATTTTAATGGTACCAAATTCCACATATAATTGCCACCATATCCTGTTGAAAGCCCCACTCTGCGATATTTTTGTTAGTAGGAGGTGTGATAGGCTTCCCTGTAGAAATGTTTTTCAGGGATTGCATAAAGGCAGACAGAGAAAGAGCTAATGGGGTGGCTTGTGGTAAGAAGTTCCAGAAGGTGGGAGAGGCTCTGGAGAAGTCCTGGAGGCCAAGCATGGGGGGAGGTCATAAGGGAGCTAGAGAGCAAGAAGTCTTTGGATAAGTGAAGCTGATGGTTTGTATGATATTGTGAGATGAGGTTGGTGATGTAGCAGGGGGTGGAGTTGTGAATGGCTTTGTATGTTGTTGTTAGTGTTTTGAATTGTATACATTGGGTGAGCAAAAGCCAATGGAAAGATTGTGAGAAAGAGATGGTGGATACTGAGCAGTTGGTAAGGTGGATAAGTCTGGCATTAGTATTCACAATAGACTAAAGGGGGATAGTTTGAATAGAGATAGGCAGATTAGAATGGAGTTGCTATGATTAAGGTCTGACTGCCGAAACGCGTTAGCTTGTTTGTAATTTATTGACTATGTAGCCAGTAAAGTTTACCACATTTAGATGAT